CACACTGGAGAAAAACCAGCATGTTCAACAAGTGGTGCTGGTTAAACTGGATAGGGTCAAGTAGAATGAAAACAGATTCCTACCTTTCATCATGCACAAAACTCAATTCCAAATGGATCAAGGATCTCAGCATAAGATCTGATGCCCTGAATCTGATAAAGGAGAAAGTAGGGAACACAGTGGTGCTTATAGGCACAGGACAGGACTTTCTGAACAGAACCTGACAGTACAAGCATTAAGTCCAGCATTGGCAAATGGGACATCGTGAATCTAAAAACTTGTGTACCTCAAAGGGGAACATCACGAGAAAATCTTTACCAGTTACACTTCTAACACAGGGTTAGTATCTAAGATACACAAAAAACTCAAAAAACCTAAACATCAAAAAACAAACAACCCTCCCCAAATGGGGCAAGGGGCCTAGAGAGGTGGTTCAATAGTTAAGATCACTGACTGCTCTTGTAGAGGACCCGGGTTTGGTTCCCAGCACCTGCATGGTGGCTAGCTACCCTGCATAACTCTAGTTCCAGGGCATCTGACACCCTCTTCTGACCTCCGTGGGCACAGCATGATATGAGTACAGTTACTCACATGCAGGCATTATACTCAGACACATAAAATTAAAATAATAAATAAAAAATGTTAATGGGACAAGGAAGTGAACATGGCGTTCTCAAAAGATGAAGCACAATGCCTGAAAAATTATTTGTAAAATTTAAAAGTGCAACATTTTTAGACATCAAGGAAATTGCAAACTAAAACCACATTGAGATTGCATTTCACCCCACACAGAATGGCTAAAAAACATCAAGGACCAGTGCTGCTGAGATTTGGGAAAGGGGAACTTTTATCTGCTGCTGATGGCAGTGTACCATGATGCAGTCACTGTGGAAATCAGTGTGGAGATAGAAATACATCTACCATATGATCCTGCCATTCCACTCAAGTAAATGCCCCAAAGACTCTATATCTACTACAGGGAAGTTGTTCATCCATGTTCATTGCTGCCCTTTTCAAAATTGTTGGGAAATGGAAGCAACCTAGATGTCTATTGACTGATGAATGAATAATGAAAGTATGGTACATGTACATAATAAAATATTATTATGCTGTTAAAAAATTGAAATTCTGGAGGCTGGAGAGATGGCTCAGTGGTTGAGAGCACTGACTACTCTTGTAGAGGACCTGGGTTCGATTCCCAGCACCCACATGGCGGCTATGAACCGTCCTTAGCTCCAGTTCCAGGGGAATCCGAAGCCCTCTTCTGACCTCTGTGGCATTGCACGACACAGGTGCGCTCACATACATGCAGGCAATACACTCATACACAAACTGTCCTTAACTCTAGTTCCAGGGGAATCCGAAGCCCTCTTCTGACCGTCTCAGCATTGCACGACACAGGTGCGCTCACATACATGCAGGCAATACACTCATACACATAAAAAATAATAAAAAATAATAAATAAGATATTTTTAATTGAAATTTTGAAATTTGCAGGCAAATGGATAGAACTGGAAATAATTATCCTGAGTGAGGTAGCCCAAACCAAGAAATACAAACAACCCATGTTTTCTCCTAGCTGGATGTAAGCTTTGAAATCTTAGATATTCATGTTTCAATTTGAAAATCCAGAGAGGTCAAGAAATGGCCGTGTGGGAGAGGCTTCTGGGAGAGGGATGAAATTCAGTGATGCAAACAAGGAAAGGAGAATATTAGAGTATGAAGAGTTAACTGGGGAGGAAATGAAAGGGTTAATCAGAGGAGGGAGCATAGGGGACAGACAATACTAAAGGCCCTTAGAAGAAGCCATATGGAAACCTACTACTAAAGAAGCTTCTTAAAGTTTATACATATACACTACAAAAAGAAATTGAAAGGAGTTACCTTATAACGGGGGGGTGGGCATTACTCCTACTAGCCGCCATAGGCTAGCAAAGTAAAATCCCAATGCTGGGGATGGGCTCCATCTTTTAAAGCCATTGACCAGGGGTTCTAAAAATCCTGAAACAATTCTAGCCATGGCCCCTGCCCTTCATTACCCACCAGAACTTGATGGTAAGACCCTATTGCTGAAGACACTACTTATGTGAGCTGTAGAACAAACAAGGAGAAATCTAGCTGGTACTGACACTGAATCTTCACCTCTACTGTCTAGATTTTATAAGTGCTTCATAAGATAGTGCCCATACCTAACACTGATATCAGGCCTAGGAACCTATGGCTAGACAAGACATAGGCCATAGGGAAGGTTCTAAAACTATTACTCGGTTAAACAGATATAGTATTAAAGTGAGTCTGAATGACTCACTGTTATACCCACGGGTTAATGTATCTCTCAACTCTCATCAGAAAAGCTTCCTTATGCAGCAGATGGTGATTAACTCAGAAACCCATAACTTGCCAACATGCAGAGACTAAGAGACTGCAGAGTGATTATCCCTGAATTGGATACCTACATCAAACTTCTGCCTCCAAAGACTCAGGAATCATTTTGCAAGAGGTAGTGGAAAGATTGTAAGAGAAAGAGGTGGTGGATGACCACAGGTAAACAGAGTTTTCCCGACAGTTGAGAAGTTACTCATATGAATTCAGAGCAATGGTGACAGCATGCACACATACCTTATAAGCTCAAGCCAGACAAAATCCCCACATAAACATGGGGAAGTGGATAAGAAACCCCAACTCTACCTGAGGAACTATTGGCACAATGCTGCTGGGAGGGGGACAGTCAGTATCTTTTCTATAGGCATGTGTGTGGTGTGTGTGTGTGTGTGTGTGTGTGTGTGTGTGTGTAATAGAGTACATGAAATATGGCAGGGAGTTTTAAGTAGGGTCCAGATAGGGAGGGGGTCTAAATATTAGCAAAATATATGAAATTCACACAAATTCAATGAAAGGAATAAAAGCTACTGTTGGGGTGGGCGGGGAACCTCTGTAGAATGAGTAACACTGGACAGCACAGACATACCTGCACATCCATCTCTATGACTACTAGTCACAATATCCAAGATATGCGACAAGCCTAGATGGCAAGCAACAATCAATGAAGAAAATACAGTATTTAGGGTGTGTATGGAATGGAATTCTATTCCACTCTAAAGAAGGATGAAATTATGACAGTGACAACAGGAAGCAGATGGAATCATTACATTAAGCAAAATAAGTCAGACTTAGAAAGGTAGCTGTCACAGATTTTCTCTCAGGTACAGAATCTAGACTTGAATGAATCAATGTGTGAATGGCATGAAAGTAGAAAGAAGACAATGGGGGTGGGGCAGGGTCTAATGGGAGGGAAAGAGAAACAAGAGAAATAATGGGGAAAAGACAGCTGTATTTTCTTTCACATGCAGAATCTAAATTCAACTATATATATAAATATATAAACACACATATTGACATGAAAGAGAAGAGGCACAATTTCAGGATGATGGAGGTCAGCAAGAGGTGGATGAGGCAGGCAGGAGGGGGTTATTCTAAGCAAAGCACAATGATATATACAGATAACCCACATACATACATATGTATAGACATATATAAATATATATGAAACTGTCATAAGGAAACCCATTATTTTATACACTAACCAAAAAATTTTCAATATTATATTAGCATTCTGAATTTTAATTCATTATCTTGTCAATAAAATCTAACACCAAATATGGCCAGGTGAAACTTAACTTATTTCATCGTCCTGTTTTTTTGTTTTTTGTTTTTTAAAAAAAATTTGTTTATTATTTTTATGTATATGTGCATATTGCCTACAAGTAGGTAAGTGCACCCGTGTTGTGCAATGCCCATGGAGGACAGAAGAGGCCATCAGATCTCCTGGGACTGGAGTTATAGACAGTTGTTAGCTGCCATGTGGGTTCTGGGATTCGAACCCGGGTCTTCTGCAAGAACAACCAGTGTTCTTAGCCACTGAGCCATCTCTCCAGTCCTGTTTTTTTCTTAATAGTGAAATTTGTGGATACCAAATGGAATGGATGAAAAGTGTTAACACTTTTCTCATCAAATTATTGTTTTAGAAGCAAGTACTGAGTGGTGAGCCTTGTAGTTAAGAGAGTCAACGTCGACAACTCTGCAGTGTTTAAGGACTGTTAGCCTTGTCACCAATATCTCTTCATCTTCTCATGAAGTGAGTTTCAAAAGTAAAATATAAGCATTCAGTATTATAAGTGAAAATTCATCCTCTGCAAATATTTATTTGAATATTTTTGAAAGGGTTTTGCAAAGTGAGATTGGCATTTTCAGACAACTTTCAACATGCTTCAAGAAGATCATCTCGATTTTTCCCAGGATTCAGTTTGCAACAACTGGTCATATGGGAAAAGGACTGAAAGGTTCTAGGCTGCTAAATCAGAGTTCAGAATATTTCCCTGAAATATGTCATTTTGCTATCATACAGTTTACCAGTTTCAACAGATTCAGGTAAGTGACATGTGATCAGTCACAGATGATTCTCCTGCCTTAATGATACCTTGCCAAAGAACCCTCCAAGTGAGCTTAGTAAGTTGCAACTGTCTCAGTGGATCAAAACAGAAGCTCCCTTATGGCCCCTGGAACACAGGCTGAAGGTATACCTGGTCATATACACATGCCATAGCACTTCTTCAATGTCTGTCACCCTTAGTTGTTTACAGATGGAAAATGTAAGTCAGAGAATGAAAGGGATCCCTGTGTCCTGTGGGCGGCACAGGCACTTGTCCATTCACACATTTATCAACAACCAGCTATGTGCCAAAGACTACTTCTGTCAGAAGTTATAAAAATTTTCCCCCAAAGGAATAGAGATATGTTAGAATCAGGCTCTTTCTGTGGTTGTTGTCCTAAACACATAGAACGATGCACAATTTTTTTCCTGTGAACTACCTAGGTAACTCAGAAAAACTTATTAAATAAGCTCCCTTTCCTATTTTTTCTTTTCTTTGCAAGCCAAGAATAGTAATAAAAGTCCAAAGTAGTTAAAAGTGATGTTTAACATTCATAAAATTATCCTTACCAAGAATAGAGGATTGTTCCAACCACAGACGTGAGTTTACTGGTTTCCTGTTTTTGCTTTGCCAGGCCAAAGTCAGCTACAATTCACAAAACAAAGCAACATGTTACTGTGTTTTCCCAGGATTAGCACTGTTCCTTGTGCCTGACTTTCTGCACAGTAACTATTACACTTTCTAGCAGAACATTTACCCTATTTATGCTTTGTCTAAAAACATCCAATGCCCCCACAACTTCCACCTGCTCCCAGTCTTACTGCATACATATATCACTGTGGTTTGTATTTTGACATGACGAAACAGATCTTTAAAAAAGAAATCTAAAATAAGTCTTGATAACCAAAACAGGGTGAAGTCCTTGTTGAACCTTTGATTTCACTTTATAATTCTCAAATCTCAAATAAACAGAAAGACAAACATTTTGGTGTATGGTCCTCATTGCCTCATCTGATCAAAAGAAGACTAAGAGGTCTTGGGGTGATGTCCACATTTGTAATCCTTGTACTCAAGAGCTGAGGCAGGAGGGCAGAATTCCAGGCCAGCCTGGGCTACAGAATGAGATTCTGTTTCAAAAAGTCAAAAAAGACACAATAAAGGAGACCAAAATAACTAAAAAGGGACAGCTCAAACTGTAAAATAATTTTATGAAGGGTGCTGTGACAAAATCGCTAACAAACTGCAGTATGTAAATTATACAACTAATAAAATGTAGATGGGCCTAATGGACACATCCCTGTAATCTCAGGATTTAGGAGCTGAGGAAGGAACATCAGGAATTCCAGGCCAGCCTGGGCTACACAGCGAGATCTTATGTCAAGGAAAGAAAGAAAAGGAGGGAGGGGAAGGAAGGAGGAAGGAAGGAGAGGGAAAGAGAAAATGAGAAGTAAACCTAACAACCACTGTGAAGATCTGAAACCTGAAATTATGTAACATCTACTGATACTAACTCACCATATCTGTAACAATGTATAAAAATAGTATGGTATAGTATATAGTATAAAAGTAAAATTTACATAAATCAACACCAAAAGGCTAAACATTATAAAAGTATGTATATAGAACAATACTGAATAACTGATGAGTATATTTTTATTTAGAATAACACATTTTCTAAGGAAGGGTCTCATGTACCCCCGGCTGGTGGCTGACCTCAAATCCACTGTGTAGTCAAGGATGACTTTGAACTTCTGATCCTTCTGCCTCCACCTCCCAAGTGCTAGGATTATAGACATAAACCACCACGACCACCTTATGCAATGCTGTGGTTTGAACCTGGGGCTTTGGTATGCTAAGTAAGCATTCGTCCAACTGAGTCACATCCCCAGGCCCTAAAATAACATATTTTTGACAGGAGGCACATAATGTACATGTTTGTAGAGTACAGTAGGACAGTTTAATAAATTATATGTCATGACCAAATCAAGATAGTTACTAGCATTTTTCTTATTTTTAAATTTAAATTTTATTGCTCCATCAAAGCAAAAAATTGTAGCTATCAGTGGGCTAATGGCAAGCTTTGTTGTGTATAAACAGTGCATATTTATTTCAAGTTTATTTATTTAATTTATTTATTTGTTTATTTCAACATTTATCCATGAATATTCACTTCTTTGTGGAGAAGCATTCAACATTTATCCATGAACATTCATTTCTTTGTGAAAAAGCATTTACAACCGTTTCTTCTAGGTCTTTGGGATATACAATACACAACTGTTGTCTACAGTCACCTATTGTACAACAGCAAGCTGTAACTTCTTACTCTTGGCTAACTGTGACTCGATACCCACTGGGCAACCTCCCCTTCCTTCCCTTCTCCTCATCCTCCCAGTCTCTGGTTATCAGCACTTTATTCTCGACTTTTATGAAATCATTATTAAAAATATTTTGTTATTTTTATTTTATGTGTATGAGTGTATTGCCTGCAGGTATGTGAGTGCACCTGTGTCATACAATGTCTCGGAGGTCAGAAGAGGGCATCGGATTTCCCTGGAACTGGAGTTAAGGACAGTTCATAGCCGCCTGTGGGTGCTGGGACTTGAACCTGGGTCCTCTGCAAGAGCAGTCAGTGCCTTTAAACGCTGAGCCATCTCTCCAGCCCTGAAATCACTTTTTTTTTTTACATGCCACCTACAAATGAATCATGTGTAACTCATTTTTTCTGTGTCTGGCTTATTTTATTTAATGATCTCTGATTCCACTCATGTCACGGGATAGAAAGGATTCACTCTTTTGTACAATTGAATAGCATTCCATCACATAGATGGCCCCCGTGTTCTTCATGCATTCATCAGTTCATAGATAGTTGGATTTTCTTCATTTCTTACCAATTTTGAACAGTGCTACAATAAAACAGAGTGTAGATGTCTCTCTATCTACTGATTTCATTTTCTTTGGAAGTATGCTTGGTAGTGAAACTGCTGGACCAGATTATATAGTGGTTCTATTTTTAATTTTTCAAGGAACTTCCACAGTGTTTTCTATGACAGTTTTCCTAACTTATATTCTCTACCCAAGGTGTGAGGACTCCCTATCTCCATTTCTGGCAGCATCTTCTCTCGTCTCCTTCCCCTCTGGGAAAGGGTAGTCATTTATTTACTTATTTATTTATTTTAAGTTAGTGTAAAAAAATACCTTCAATCTTTTTTTATAACAGTTATTCATTTTTTGTAAAATTATAAAATTTTGTTTGCTTTATGTGTATGAGTGTTTTACCTGCATATATATAAGTGTACCCATGTCATTTTTAAGAGTTCCCTGTTTCCTGACCAAGTTGGCACAGTATTTGCCTAGCATGCATGAAGCCCTGGGTTCACACCCTAGCACCAAATAAAACCAAGCATGGTGGCACATGTTGTAATCCCAGAACTTGGGAGGTGGATATGGGAGGGTCAGAGGTTCAAGATCAGGGCTGGAGAGATGGCTCGGCAATTAAGAGCACTGACTGCTCTTGCAGAAGACCTTGGTTTGATTTCTAGTACCCACATGGTGGCTAACAACCACCCTTAACTGTAGTTACAGAAGAATACAATGCCCTCTTTTGACCTCTGTGGGTATTGCATGACTGCACGACAGTGCACTTAAAACATGTAGGTGATACACACACACACACACACACACACACACACACACACACACACACACACACACACAAATAAATAAAAATAAAATATTCTTTTTTTAAAAAAGTTCAGGGTGATAGATCCTCAGCTATGTAGTAAGCTCAAGGCCAGCATGGGCTACATACCCTATTACAACAAACAAACAAGCCAACAAATGAAAACGAAAAGCATCATTGCCTGGGCTGCTTAAAATACCTGCTGCTCGTTTGGACGTCTTCTTCTGAGATGATATCTACTTTTATTTAGATTGTTTTGGATTTTGCTATTGAGTATTATGTGTTCCCTATGTACTCTGAACAATATCTCTTATTAGATTCATGTTTGAAATATTCTCTCCCATTATGCAGACCCACTACCGTGACAATCATTTCCTGTGCTATTCTTTTTAAAACTAGTTTAAAAATTTTTGTGGGTATGAATGTTTTGCCTGTACGTGTATAAGTGCACCATGTGCATGACCTCGGAGGACAGAAGAGGACATCAGATCCCTTGGAACTGGCATTATGGACGGTTGTTAGCTGCCATGTGCGTGCTGAGACACGAACCTGGGTCCTCTACAAGAACAATCAGTCTTCTTACCACTGAGCCAACTCTCCATACCTGTAGAAGCTTTCAATTGATAAAATCTAAGTACCAGTTTTTCCTTTTGCTTCCTGTGCTTTGGGATTCTATCAAAAGCATTCTTACCCATTCCGGTGTCTTAAAGCATTTCCCATGATTTTCTTCTAGTTGTTCTAAACTTAATCTTTGATGTATTCTGGGTATTGTTTTGTAATTGCTGAGACATAGGGATCCAGTTCCATTGTTCTTCATGTGGACATTCAATGTTCCAGCACTATTCATTTTCTTTTGTTAAAAGATTTATTTTTGCTATTTTTAATTACATGTATGTGTGTCTGTGTGGGGATATGTGTGTGTAAGTGCTGGAGCTTGCAGAGACCAGAGGCATTGGGTCCTCCTAGAGCTGAAGTTAGAGGCAGTTGTGAGCCCCCAACCCCCAACATGGGTGTTGGGAATTGAACTCAGGTCCTTTGCAAAAGCAGTAAAGGCTGTCATCATTTGCTTCAGTTGTCAACTTGACACAAACCTAGAGTTACCTGGGAAGTGGGAATCTCAAATGAAGAACTGGTTAGATTAGACTGGCCTGTGGACATGCCTGTGAGGCATTTTTCAAATTGCTAATTGATGCAGGAGGGCCCAGCCCACTGTGGGCAGTGACATTCCTAGGCCTGGGTTGTATAAGAAAGGTAGCTGAGCAAACCAGAGAAAGCAAACCAATAAGCAGTGTTCCTCTATGATCTCTGCTTAAGTCCCTGCCTTAAGTTCCTGCTTTGGTTCCCCTCAGCAGTAGACTGAAACCTGTAAGTCAAACCCTTTCCTCCCTAAGTTCTTTTGGTTCTAAGTGGTTATCACAGCAACAGAAAAGCAAACTGAGGCAGCTCTCTAAACCACCGAGCTGTCCTCTAGCCCCAGCACCACTCATTTTCATTCAATATTGTGTCCTTTATTTTTTTTCTAATGGGTATTCTTAACATTTTTGTAAAAAATCACCTGGCTATAGATGTACGGGTTTATGTCTAGGCTCTCAGATCCATTCCAATGGTCTGTCTGCTTTTGCACTAATACCCATGGTCTTTTTGATTACTACAATTCTGTTGTCTATTTTGAAGTCAGGTAACATAATGCTTATATGACCAGTATTTACAACCACCTACTTTATAGATGAGGAAACTGAGGCTCAGTGAGAATGATCAACCTGCCCAATGTCTCATAGAAAGAAATCAAATGTCATATTAATCTGAGGTCAGGTGACTCTTATCAAAATATAATACTGCCAACAAAGAAAAATTCAGGCCCTAATTATTTCACTAACAGTCCAACCAAATATCCACGGAATAAATCATTATCAACTGTACATAAACTGTCAGAAAGCAGGGAAAGCAGGAAGGGGAACTTCCCAAT